TATATATATATATATATATATATATATATATATATATATAGACCCATATGTCAAAATATGTTCATGTCTATATATGTCTATATATATATAATAACAGTAATAATTTACATATTTGTACAATTTGGAATATTCAAGTCAATTTTGCTATATAACTTGCTTTTGTATAATTTTACTCAATATCATATTACCTTTAAGTTTATATTTACATATTCTTGAATAAGAAATTTTTTGCCTTACAGAAATTTCTTAGTGAATGAACATTTACGATAGATAGCAATGGAAGGTCCGTTAGAAATAAAGAACAGAGGTATGGAAGAACCTATAAAATCTGAAACTCCCATACAAAATTCTGATAGTAGTGAGCGAAATGATGGCGCAACTTCTCCACCTCCAAATTGTAGCATCTGTCTGGGGAAGTTGGTTAATACGTCTTTTACAGACAGTTGCTTGCATCAATTCTGTTTTACTTGCTTGCTTCAGTGGTCTAAAATCAAAACAGAATGCCCTTTGTGCAAACAGACATTCAAGTCAATTATACACAATGTAAGATCCGAAGAAGATTATGATCAATATCATGTACCACGTGAATTGGTGTCACAAATTCCACAACCTCAAGTCACTGCTACTTTGGGTGTTAATTTTGATGTTGATTGGGATGTTCCTCGTCGATTTGTTTACAGGTATAATATATGATTTGAATATTATAAAACATAATTATATTATAAAATAATTAAATGTATGTGTGTTATGCATTACATAATTATATAACTCGAGTGTACATTTATGAAATAATTTTATAAAATCTGTCTTATCTTTTATTTTTTAGAACAACATTGACTAGCAATCGTCGACATGGAGTGTTATTAAATCCAGAGCAAGTTACAAGACGCGAGCAATTACCTAGTATGGCACCTCAAGTGCCTAGGGAAGAACGTAGACGTAGACGAGCTAATCCGACAGATTATCGTCGTACTGTTTATAGACATGGTATATGGGCTACTTCATTACCTGACATATTTGGACGTTTCCGCGAATGTAGTCCTGAATATTATAGGTAAATATTTTTCATAATTTTATTTTTATTATTATTGTTATAAATTGTAAATTTATATTTAATAAAAAGTTCTTTACATATAAGAAATTATTTGTTAATTGTATCACAGGAGACAACCACAAGAATTAGATCGTCTTATACCATGGTTGAACAGAGAACTACAAGTTTTACTTAATAATGAACCAACTCACGTTGCATATGTATTGAGTATAATAACAGATGCCTTAATTCAATATGATATTAGAAGTCCAGAATTTCGGAACATTGTACGACCATTTTTCTCTATACATACAAATCATTTTGCACACGAGTTGTTGACTTTTGCCCAAACTAATTTTGATTTATATGGATATGATCAATCTGTTACCTATTTGCCAAGTGGTATGTAATTATTTATATATATATATATATATATTTCATAATGACAACTATTAAAGTATATGTTACTATATAATTATCAATATATATATATATATATATATATATATATATATATATATATATATATATATATATATATATATATATATACATATATAAAATACAATCGATATATTTATCACAGGTTTATCAAATGAATATGTAACTCGTATTGAATCACCTACATCTAGTATTAATAGTAACAATATCAGTCGCAGCAGCAGTAGCAGCAATAGTAGTCTTATATCTGATAATTCAGATGTGCGAATACTTGATGAAGCAATTGATTTGAGAGTAAACGCTGAAATGCCGAATACATTACCACATTCTATTAGTATGCCAGGTAAGAAGAGAGGAAAAAAAGAGAAAGTGAATAATCATATTTTGTGTTATATTTTCCAATTTAGCATATGTGTAGCATAATAAAAGCATAAATTGTACATAATATATAATGTATAGAACACATATAATTATTAAGGTCCCAGTGCAGTAGGACAAATGTATCGCAGAATAGAGCCATTTAACAATGTACCAGAACTCTTAATCGTTTCATCAAGTTCCTCTGAATCAGAATGTGAAATAATTGGTTATGTAAAACCACGTCATGAAAGAACACCGGAAATCATAGAGTTACTTTCTTCTGACTCTGAACATGTATCTGTTTCTCATATATCAAATGGGAGCTCACAGTAAGTTAAAAAAATTATTGTAATACGTTCAATTTTTCAAATCAATCAATTCTAATATTGATGCGATTGATATTGCGATGAAGTTTGTTTAGAAATTAGTTATTATTAATACAAATTACATTATTAATACAAATATGATATATAACTCTAAATACTTGTTGTCATATTTTATTATTAGAACAATCACGAGAAGAATACATCCAGAAAATATATCACTACCAAGTACGTCATATGTCACAAAAGAATTATCTTCATCATCTTGTTCGGCAACAAGCAATGATACTACTACTTCTGACAGTGATTACAATCCAAAACAGAATAGACAAAAATGTTCGAAGAAATCGGGGAAAAAGATAGTTGCACAAAAACATAAAAGATCATATGGAATAGGAAATCGCAACAAATCAATTAAGAAAAGAAAGATATCTTCCAGTGATTCCAGTTCATCTGAATCACTGAAATTGCTTAAAAAGTATGAGAAACGATCGAGAAAGGCGCAATATAGGATACAAGCTAAAGATACAGGACGAATAAAACTTATTAAAAAAGAAGAAAGCTATTCAGATGAAGATTCGTCTAACGATAGTAGTAGCACAGAAACTGATAACAAGACAAAAACCAAGAAGTCTTATAGAGAATACAAGTTGAAAAGAGATTCTTTTAATACAAACGATACAGCGAAAAGAGGAAAAACAACGAGAAATAAAGAGAAAGCTACGAATTTGGAAAAGTCTAAGAATCGAAATCCAAAGTGTAATGAAAGTAGACAATCCAGATCTAGAAGTAATAGTGCATCTTCTAATGTTTCTGAACGAGATAACAGGCCGAATTATAGACACCGAGAATCTCGAAATACAAACGAGCATGAAAGTCAAGACAATAACGCTTCAGTAAATAAAGATATGTCAAGAAGTGAATATAAGTCTAAATCAAAAAGAAAAGTATATTATTCTTCAGATTCAGAGGATGATCATTTAAGATGTAGTAGCCAATGTAGTAATTATTCTAATAAATCTTATTTACATTGGAGAAAATCAAAACGTAAAGAAAAACATAAAGATAAAGAGCGCCATAAATCCAATAGTAGAATATTTAATTTATCACAATCCAATGCGAGTACAATTTTAACGATGTCTATATCGTCAAAAAATGAAATATATCCGACAAAACATTCCGATCGCAATGGTTCCGATTATAAAGAAAAATATAAATCACGCAAAGAATTGAAGCATAGAAAATCCGAAAATGAAAAAAAATCAAGACCAAAGAAAAGAAGACACCGCCTTCAATCTTCTTCCACTTCGGGATAATATCATATACGACTTGTGTTAAATAATATAAAATAAATATTGATTTAGAATAATGACATATAAATTTTTATAAAAAAGGCAATGAATAATATTTAATCAAATTAATTTGATATTAATATAGTCTGTATCATTTTGTTCACATGCATATATCGGTCTATCATGCTAAGATCATTTTATGATTTTATCACAAAATTATTATGTAAGTTCAGCAATATTCTAAAAAGATATTGATTGAGGCTATCTCTTTCCTTATAAATTGATATTTATATTTTGTTGTATACTTGCTTATAGTGCAAAAAGTTTTTATCCGTATTAATAAGTAATGCGTTTGTTTATGATGAAAAATATGTATATATTAAAATAAATTTATATTTGCACACTGCAAATCTTAACATAAAACACTGTTGTCAATGTAATATCTGACATGCAAAAATTATTATTATATATTGCAGGACAAAAAATTTATGTTATCACATTATCTTTTATGGAAATGTAATATGTGCACAATGACACACATTTATATGCAACACATATAATTTTATGCTGTGTGCGTGCGTGCATGCGTATATATACAGATCGTTTCCTATAACTTGATCATTTAAAATATCGTTTTCGACGATACAAGAAAATATCAGAGGAAAGTTGTTCGATTCGAAGGGACACATATTATGATGAGTAACAAATTTTTCTCACAGTCATATTTTTTGAGATCTCAATGCTATCACAATGTTTTTAAATGGAATGGCATATTTTCATTAATGTAGTAATGTTATTCATAATGTTGTTCATAAAAAAACAAATTCATATGATATGTTGTCCTTCAGATGAATATAATATTATCAGATTTATGTGGGGAAAAAGAAAAGTGAACTTAAGAAAACTTAAGTGTTTTTCAATGAAGATATTTATTTACTTTAGTTTGGAAGCTGTTCAAAATGACATCATACTGAAACTGCATTCCAATACGGTGCCTCAATGGAACTTCTAATAATATTTGTAATTCATTTCTTAAAAAATTTGCATATTTTTGTCCATTTAAATTTCCTTCAAAGAAAAAATGGACTTTTGAATTCTCGATATAGTTATATTTTATAACTTGTATTTATTGTGTGTTACGCTTAATTTTTATTTTAAATGGTTATTTCTTAAATTTAATATTTATTTCTATTCCTAATATATATATATATTTCCTCCATTGTGTGCAGGGCCTAAGACTTGCATCATAGATCCCTTATCGTGCACAAATGTATTGACACAAATGTATTGACATTGATAGATATGTATAAAATTGTTTGAGGAAAACTGATATACAACTTTTGAATATTAATATTTCATAATTGTCGGTGTTGTATAAATTAAAAATGGAAAATTTTTAACAAGCTTTATAGAAACTGATGTTTTTAAGAATTTAACAGAACACGCTCACGACCATTCAATCATGGGGAATCATATTACTCACTTAATTCGAACAATAATACAAAAATATGTCAAACTTAGATTGAATTATAAAATAATAATTAATAAATTAAATAAATAATTTAATAATTAAATGCTTATTAATTTATTATATTATTATTATATAAGGATTCCTATCGTATTATAATATTAACCCTTCTCATATTTCTAATTGTTTTTTTGTTTGGTTATGAGATTTTGATTTGGTTTTGAGATTAATTTTTTTTCAACGGAATAGTTTTTATCATATTGTTACATTTATTATTTGCAATTGCCAAGTCGTTATTATCGCACACGATACTGAGCATGTGCATCATTAATAAAATTTAGACCCTCATATTCAGCATCATTCCATTTCGCCTTACGGGCTTATGCTCTATCTCTATATGCTTATGCTATGGGGCCTTAGATATTCCATATTTATTTACACGTATACACACACACACACACAC